AAGAATGTAGTTGGTCAAGGGAGCCGGTTGAAAACCTCTGCTCTAAACTAAAAAAATCCGAAATGCTGCAGCCTTCTTCACAGGGGAGTTGGTTCACCCCCTTGATCATTTTGGCCTCTCTTTGGACACAGGTGAAATCCCTGGCATCTCCAGGTGTGGCTGAGAGAGACGCCTGTTGCCGATACTGAACCGGATGGACAAATGGTCAGTATAAGGCAGTTTCCTATGCTCCTCCTTAAGGCAGCCCTTTATTCAGAATAATGGCCAGAATCTTGCTTTGGCTAAGGCATCTGCGTTTCATGCAGCAGGTCCCAGGTTCAATCCCAAATAGCATCTCCAGGCAGGGCTGGCAGAGGCTGCTTGTCTGAAACCTCTAAGATCTGCTGCCAGTCAGCACTGGACAAGGAAAACAAAGGTGTCTCAAAGGTGCCTTACTGCAGATAGACCCAATGTGTTTCAGGACAGTTGCCTTTCTTGGGAGCTCAATTCCTTACTGCTTTGAGAACTTGATCAAGGTTCTTAGCTGGGGCAATCAGAATAAGGTCCGCTATTTGACTGCTGATTCAGGACCCTAAACTGTGTTTTATATAATCGGCTTTTTATTTTGTTCTGTGTATATCGCAATGTCATTTGTTGCTATGGCCGACGGCTGACGCAAATAAAGTTCCATTCATTCATTCATTCATTTGAGAACTTGATCAAGAAACCTCTCTTAAAGAAACTTGCATTGCAAAAGACCTTTTTAAAAAACTGTGGACTTTGCAGAAAACTACAGCTAGCAGCTGGGTGCTTGCAGGACTTAGGAAGTGAAGTGACAGGCTGTAGTTCAGTGGTAGAGCACATGGGCATAGCTGGGGGGGCAGGAGGGCAGCTGCCCCCCTAGATCCACAAAAATTATTGAAAAGCATTGAAAGTACTCAATTAACTGAGGTTCTCTTCCCCCAGCAGATTCCCCCCCCCCCCCCGGTATTTTTGTCTGTGATTTCCCCACAAAAAGCTCAACATTTTTGGTGGGTAATCCCCAGATATTTCTGGACTCCAACCCCCCGACAACTGGTGATGCTGGCCGAGTTGATATCTTCTGGCTTCTTAAATAATAATTTTGATGTTGTTGTTTAGTCGTTTAGTCGTGTCTGACTCTTCGTGACCCCATGGACCAATCTGTCCTTCCAGTGAGCACTCAGGGCTGATTTCCTTCAGAATGGATAGGTTTGATCTTCTTGCAGTCCATGGGACTCTCAAGAGTCTCCTCCAGCACCATAATTCAAAAGCATCAATTCTTCAGCGATCAGCCTTCTTTATGGTCCAGCTCTCACTTCCATACATCACTACTGGGAAAACCATAGCTTTCACTATACGGACGCTTGTTGGCAAGGTGATGTCTCTGCTTTTTAAGATGATGTCTAGGTTTGTAAATAACAATAGGCATTGCATATCTGGCTTTCAAGCACGAGGACTAGAAACTTGATGCTTTCTTTTTAAAAGCAAGGATGATGAAGCTGTGGCCTTCCAGGTGTAGTTGGATTCCGACTCTCATCACCCCTGATGATTGGCCGTGTTTGCTGAGGCTGCTAGGAGTTGGAATCCTCTGGCTTCTGAAATAACAATAGCCATTGTGTACATACTTTCAAGCTTAAGGACTAGAAACCTGACTATTTTCTTTTTAAAAGCGGGGTGGGGAAGTTGTGGTCCTCCCGATATTTGATGGACATCAACTCCCATCATCCCTGACCATTGAACGTTATGGCAGAGGCTGATGGGAGCTGGAGTCCAACACCATTTTAAAGGCCACGGGTCTCCACTGTGTCACAGCAGTCATTCAAATCTGCCATCAGCGGTAGAGCTGGAACAACCTGGCCCTCAAATGTTTGTGCTAAGATGATGCTAGTTTTGCAAAAAAAAATCTCTCCACCCCACCTTTCACAAAACACACACACACTGCTACACATGTCAGCTCTAACGATGCATTTCTGAGATTTCCCCCTGGAGCTGCCAGGAGAGATGTCTGCCCATGACACTAACAGAAACCAAAAATAAGCATCTGTGTGCCCAAAAGGTATCTATGTTCTTCCTGGATAGGAGTGGGGATGATGTGTGTTGAAAGAAAAGGAGGAGATATACACACAGGGAGGTAGGAAATTGTGTGTGTGCCGTGTGGCACCTTGAAAACAAATACATTTATTGTGGCGTACAAGGACTTGGAAGTTTCCTGTTGCTAACCACCAAAGAAATGTACAGTGGTAACTCGGGTTACATACGCTTCAGGTTATACACTCTGCTAACCCAGAAATAGTGCTTCAGGTTAAGAACTTTACCTCAGGATGAGAACAGAAATCGTGCTCTGGCGGCGCAGCAGTAGTGGGAGGCCCCATTAACTAAAGTGGTGCTTCAGGTTAAGAACAGTTTCAGGTTAAGAACAGACCTCCGGAACGAATTAAGTAGTTAACCTGAGGTACCACTGTATGGAAGTGAAAGTGATGTATGGAAGTGAAAGCTGGACCATAAAGAAGGCTGATCACTGAAGAATTGAGGCTTTTGAATTATGGTGCTGGAGGAGACTCTTGAGAGTCCCATGGACTGCAAGAAGATCAAACCTCTCCATTCTGAAGGAAATCAGCCCTGAGTGCTCACTGGAAGGACAGATCCTGAAGCTGAGGCTCCAATACTTTGGCCACCTCTTGAGAAGAGAAAACTCCCTGGAAAAAAACCCTGATGTTGGGAAAGATGGAGGGCACAAGGAGAAGGGGACGACAGAGGACAAGATGGTTGGACAGTGTTCTCGAAGCTACAAACATGAGTCTGACCAAACTGTGGGAGGCAGTGGAAGACAGGAGTGCCTGGCGTGCTCTGGTCCATGGGGTCACGAAGAGGCGGACACGACTAAACAGCTAAACAACAACAACAACAAACCACTGTATTATTATAGGATGATTCAGAAAGATTCAGCCCAAGACAAGAGACAGACGGAGAAGTTGGAGAGGGGAGCGAAACTGGCAAGGAGAGGGAAAGTATTCATTGCATGTATGGTTCTCCTCCATGCTGTTTTATGCTCAAAACAACCCTGTGAGGTAGGTTAGGCTGAGAGGCAGCGACTGGCTTCAGGTCACTCAGTGAGCTTTCTGGCTGTGTGGGGATTTGAACCCTGGTCTTCCGGGTCTTAGTCCAAAACTCTACCAGCTGCACCACACTGTCTTTTTTTGACAAGGGGCCTATGCTGTTCTACTACAGTAGCAGGTGGGTAACCAATATTGTGCCTTCCGGATGCTGTCAGGCTCCAAGCCCTACCGGCCCCGGCAGCTGGGAGCCAGGCAAACCTGGAGACTTCAGGCAAGACCTGGAGGTCTGGCGATCCTTGTGCTGTCGCAGCAGCCATGCAAGATAACAGTGTGAGGCCCACCTAGCCAATTTCAGCTGCCCTTTCTTTCCCCTGACAATGAAAAATTCATGAGCCTACTCTGAGCTTTAGCTTCTCTCTCCCTCTCTCTCCCTCCCCTCTTTTTTTAATGGATTGCATATTTGAGAGCTTGCATGCAATTTGAAAGGGAGTGATGCACGCACTTCAAATTTGGATACGTCTGTATTGGTTTGGTTTTACTCCCCAGGAGATTCAGCCACTAAATTTATGCACAAAAACATTCACGGGGCAGGGGAATGTCACCGGCCACTGGCTTCTTCCTCTCTTTTAAGTGGTTGCAAGGTTTGTTTTCTTAAATTAGTATTTTTGAATTTTGAATTTATATCCCACCCTTCCTTTCCAAAGAGCTCAGAGCGGCAAACAGATGTGGCATAAGAAACAGATTGGAACATCTGCGCATCTCTCATTTGAAACAGAATGTATGGTCTATCACAAAAATTAACAAAGACATTACATGCATTGAATAAGACAAATGATGCAGACGATTTTGTTGAAATATGGCAACCTTTTATGAAATACTGTACTGATAACCCTGAAGAGTGGCAACTACCGAAATCACAGATCGGACTTTGGCAAACTTAACTAGATTGATCCGTCCTGCAGTGGGGTGAGTTGAGATTTTGTTTTTGTTTTTCTCTCTTTCTGTAATTGTTAGATATTGGAAATAAATAAAACGAAATACACGTGACAAAAATGTTCTAAAAAGATTGGCAATCGTCCCTCTTTCCCTCTCATAAGGCAAGAACTTGTGAAAGCTGAATGTTGGAAGATTCACGACAGATAAAGAAAATACTTCTTCACACAGCACATAGTTAAACTGTGGAACTCCCTGCCACAGGAGGGAGTGATGGCCACCAGCCTAGATGGCTTTAAAAGAGGATTGGACAAATTATTGGAGGAGAGGACTATCAATTTCTACCTGCTGTGCTCTGCCTCCACAGCAAGAGGCAGGAATTCTTCCAAATACCAGTTGCTGGAAACCACAGGGAGAGAAAGTGTTCATGTGCTCGAATCCTGCTTGTGAGTTTCCTACAGGCATCTGGGTGGTCAATGTGATGGCAGGATGCTGGACTAGATGGGCCACTGGCCTGATCCTGCAGGGCTCATCTTATGTAATTGTGTTTATCAGTATAATTAATATTGGTATTATTTTGCAAAGCAGGGAGTGAAGAAATTTATTGGAAAGGGGTTTAAGGTCTTCAAAACCACACTGAGAAGATCGGGGTGAAAAAGTAGAGTTTTGGTAGCAGTTAACTAACCAACATTTCTCATTTTAAAAACAACAGAAACCAAAGATGATCCTTCCTCTCCCAAGTGATACCCCTGATGGAATAAAATATTGGATGGTATTATGTTTGCTGCTGCTTCTTTTAATACATATTATTTTATTTTGAAGTCACGGTGATACATGGTAATTTGGGAGACTTTGTGTTTATTAGAGAAGAAAGAAATTATTTATATGATGGAACAAAAGCACTGGATCACTCTTTGCCAAATGAAAACGTCACAACGGTGCAGCAGGGGGATCTGCTCAGTCCCTGCATTTTTCAAGCTTATCACCATCTCTAAATATGAAATAGTCCTTGTCGTCATGTACAGCTTTTGTTCCAACGTACTCAGGTAGGACAACTTTTACGCTAAGGGGACAAGGGCCTCCATCCTTGCCTTTGGAGCCAGTTGCCAAAATAGTGGCTTGTTGAACTTCTCCTTGGGATTTTTCTGAGGTCATAATGCTTCCTTTAGTTACAGTCTTAGGTGCACAGCTTTCAGCCAGGACACGGCCAAAGAGGAGGGGAAATTCCTGACATGGATTTACGCCTTACTCCTCACACCGGTGCATGTTTGGCTCTATTTTTGAACCCACAGTGTCAGCGTCTTTGGGAGGAAAGGCGGGATGGGAATGTAATCAATCCGATCAATCATTCAATCAATATTTAGAGAGGAGGAACCCACAGAGTAAGCGTCTGCTCTTCTTCACCACTGGAAATTTAAAAACAAAAAAAGTAAAGATTGAGGTGTGGTTTTAGCACCAGCCAATATTAAATTTATAAATCTGCCCATCAATAAATATTCCCTGGGTGATTTATATGAAAAACTAAAATTGCAAAGTATCATTGTTAAAATAAACAACAACATAGTTTTTGGTTTTTTAAAAGTTTTTTTAAGCACAGACTGCATAAACAGCCTGGAGTTGAAATTTAATTAGGAAACCCGGATGAATTAAAAGGTCGTTGCCTGGTGATGAAAAGACCATAGTCCTTAGTCTCATTGTTGCCCTTGTATAACTGAGGAGGCGACGGATGAAACTAGAATTAATTGCCGCTAGCTCCCCCTACTGTTGGTCTCCCTTCCTTCTACCCTACCAAACCCAATGGGCACCAGCCACCTTGGAGCCCACGTGGTTCCAAATTCCACTCCAATGATTCCGAACCGGTGTGAGACAGTTTGGTGGAGTGGTTAGACTGTTGGACTCAGACCTGGGAGACCAGTGTTCAAATCCTCACTGGCTGACCCTGGGGGCCAGTCACTGCCTCTCAGCATGCGGTCATTGGACTAGGGGGACTAGATTAGTTGGCTAAATGTTTCCCTGGCATCCCCTTCCCAAAGCCCAGGAAGCTTCTGTCCTGCTTAGGAAGGGAGGTGCAATGCTCTGCCGGTTCCTAGAGCCCTCCTACCACCTTCCCAAAGCCCACCTAGCTTTAGGATGGAGACAGCAGGGTCCAGCATCCTCTCAGAGGCCTGCTGTGTCCTTCCCAAAGCCCGGGAAGCTTCTGCCCGGCTTAGGGAAGAAGGCACGATGCTGACAGGCGCAACATCACACACACACCCCATCGCCCTTACAAGCTGGTGCCTCTGGCCCTAACTGTTCCCCTACGAAAAGTTTCAGCGCACACCACTGCAGCCTAACCTGCCCCACAGGGCTGTTGAGGGGATTGAATGAGGAGTGGGAAACCCATATACGCCACTTTGAGCTCCTTGGAGAAAATGGCGGGATATAAATGCAATAAATCAAATCAAATCAACCACAGCAAAAGCATAGCTTGGAGGCTCTGCACTTTTCCTGAATGATGGTTATCCACCTCCACCATATTAAATCTCGCAAGCGATGGGGAAGGTGGCATTTAGTAAACAGGACTTTGTCTCGTATGATTCACACGGGTTTTGGATTCTTGCCTCTCCTCCCCTTGCCAGCTCCTTCTGCGCTAAAACTTCCATCACCACCTTGGCGTCCGTTTCCAAGCGCCTGGATGGTGTTGTTTTGGAGGGCTACCCGTAAACACATTGTGTGGCGAAAACAAGGAGCTGGATCCAAATGCTAACAGCCGGTAATTAATTTTCCTTTCCTTTCCTGGAGAGAGGGAAGCCAAGAGCTGTGGCGTCTTGCCCACCTCTCTGCAATTCACATCCAGGTGGGGCGTCACTCAAATGGGGAACCAACAAACAAAGTTACCCAGAAAGGGGCAATGACCTGTGTGATAGAGAAGGTGGATCATGTGGGAGCTCAATCTTTTAGTGTGGCAGCACCAACACTTTAGAGACATGGGTGGCACTGTGGTCTAAACCGCAGAGCCTAGGGCTTGCTGATCAGAAGGTCGGCGGTTCAAATCCCCGCGACGGGGTGAGCTCCTGTTGCTCGGTCCCTGCTCCTGCCAACCTAGCAGTTCGAAAGCACATCAATGTGCAAGTAGATAAATAGGTACCGCTCCGGGAAGGTAAACGGCGTTTCCGTGCACTGCTCTGGTTCGCCAGAAGCGGCTTAGTCATGCTGGCCACATGACCCAGAAGCTGTACGCTGGCTCCCTCAGCCAATAAAGCAAGATGAGCACCGCAACCCCAGAGTCGGCCACAACTGGACCTAATGGTCAGGGGCCCCTTTACCTTTTACTGACACTTTGGAACTCCCTGCCTATTGATATCAGGCAGGATCCTTCACTGTCCTTTTGTCAGTGCCTGCTGAGAACATTTCTGTTTAGGCAAGCCTGTCCAAATAGTTGGTGCGAGTTTTAATTTGTTTCTAGTCTATTGTTATTTTAAATCTTTCATAAGCCTTAAATGATTGTTGTTAATTTTTCTTTGTGGGTGTTTTATTGTGTTAGCTTTTCTGCAAACCACTTTGAGGGTTTTTCCCCCCAAACAACTGGTGTATAAATTTTATGAAAAATATATATATTACACAAGTCTTCCTGCGTCAGCTGTGGAATCACAGAGTGGATCTCAGATATCATCTAGTTTAACTCCTTGCTAAATAAAGGATCTGCGGTGCAAGATGCAACCACAGCAAAATATTTAAGCCCATGAGCTGATTGGCAAACTGGATGAACTGTTGTGGGCCACCAACACAGACATTTGTCCCACTCCATGCCCCCTGCCAGCAATTCAGCAGCAACAAAAAATGTTCTTGCTTTTTTGATGTTTAACTTGAAAAACAAATTTTCTTGGAGATATGCAGCAGGGGGAGGGAAGAGGCTTCCCTTCAGGAAGATACATTCCCCAAAATGAACAATTAAGCTTGAAAAAAGCCTTCTACAGTATTTGTCCTATTAGAGGGCTTTCCCCGAGCCTAAATGTGGCAAAGGAGCATGTTTATAGAGGGAACAACAGAGGCAGGTGGAAAAGGGTCATTGTTCTGCTCCCCAGCTGCAACCTCCTGTTATGCTCACCCCCCAACTGGAGACTTGGGGGAGCAAGAATCCCCACCCCACCTCACCCCACACATCACCAGCCCTTAGAATCCAGGGAGAGCTTCTACAAGCAGTGCTGGATTATACCCCAAGAGAAAAGGTAAAAAGAGAGAGGGTTTTAAGACAGGAAGGAAGGAAGGAAGGAAGGAAGGAAGGAAGGAAGGAAAAGAAAGGAAAGGACTTGATATTTCAAAAAGAACATTGGTGGAGTGGTGGAATCAGGACTTTCTTAGACTTCCTTGCCCTCCACACTCCTCCCCCTGTTTCTGGTCTCTTTTCATTACTCATCCCCACCTGAATTGGCATGGTGTGATTGTCCTATTAATGTAAATCAAAATAATGCAAAGGAATCAGATCCTGCATGTGTGGCAATAAATCCATGTTTCATTATTCTGAATTATGAGTTCTGGGTTTGATTTCTATATTATATATTATATTATATTATATTATATTATATTATATTATATTATATTATAATAATTAATACATAAAGCGAGTGTGTACTTTGTTTTTCCCCAGTCGTTTTTATTCGGAATTACATGTGGAGGCCTTAGGGCCTATAAGACCTTAATCTGGCCCTGTCTCCAGGGGCCCTCAAAGTGGGTTCCTTGAGTCCAGGTGCCAGTGGATGAGCCCCAAGTGTAATCACAAGAACATAAAAAGGGCCTGCTGGATCAGGCCAGCAGCCCCTCTCGTCCAGCATCCTGTTCTCACAGTGGCCAACCAGATGCCCATTATGGAAAAGCCTGCAAACAGGATTCGAACCCAAGACCGTGGTATTCAGAAACATTGCTACCTCCAACGGAGGAGGGAGAGCATAACTGTTATGGCTAGTAGTCATTGGTAGCCTTCTCCTCCGTAAATTTGTTTATTCCTCTTTTGAAGTCAATGTCTGGAGGGCACCAGGTTGAGCTGGCTTAGGGTTGGGGGGCACCAAGCTGGCAAAGCCCACCCCAGCAAGAGGCAGCAGCACCCGGCTAGCTGCATTGCCATTCCAGAAGTGTCGAGTGAACTAGTTAGGACTGTTAGAAATTGATGGAGCCATCCGTTATGTTCCCGGCGGCATCTATCTCCAAGACGCCAGCCCATTAAAACGTTCGGCTCTCCGCGGCAATCAGGAGCCAGAACAGAAGGTCAACTCTGCTTGAAAACAACCTCTGGTGCACGCTTTTTAATCTTGCCGATCGGAGGGGGAGAGGGGGTGAATCAAGTGCTTTTAAATGAAACTTCGCCTCCCTGTGGGGGTGCTGGCAGAGTGAGGAAGGAGGGTGCTGAATGATAGCAGGAGTCGGCCCAGGTTGAAGCCGGCCCAACCTGCCTCCGAGAGCAAAGGCCAAGGACTGTAGGGTTTTGGAGATTAAATACGATGTACCCCAAGTTCCTCTATTTATCGAGGGCGGTCCTTATAATGTTTGGTCCTTGTCCCAGATAAATCAACAAGCAAGGGTCTTGTAGTGCCTTAAAGATGAACACATCTACAGTGGTACCTCGGGTTATATACGCTTCAGGTTACATACGCTTCAGGTTACAGACTCTGCTAACCCAGAAATAGTACCATGGGTTAAGAACTTTGCTTCAGGATGAGAACAGAAATCGTGCTCCGGCGGCACGGCGGCAGCGGGAGGCCCCATTAGCTAAAGTGGTGCTTCAGGTTAAGAACAGTTTCAGGTTAAGAATGGACCTCCAGAATGAATTAAGTACTTAACCTGAGGTACCACTGTATTATGATGCTAGATAACTACAGTGGTACCTCTGGTTGCGAACGGGATCCGTTCCGGAGGCCTGTTCGTAACCTGAAAAGAGCGCAACCTGAAGTGCCGGATCTGCGCAGGTGCGCTGGGCGATTTGGCGCTTGTGCGCATGCATGAAGCGTTATTTAGCTCTTATGCACATGCGCAAGCAGTGAAACCCTTCCCGGTACTTCCGGATCGCCGCAGGACGCAACCTGAAAAGGCGTAACCTGAAGCGTCTGTAACATGAGGTATGACTGTACATTTATCTAGTTGAGGGTAGAATTCGGTGACATGAGACGAAGCTGAATGTTGGAAGATTCAGGACAGATTAAAGAAAGTTCCACATGGTTAAACTATGGAACTCCCTCCCACAGGAAGCAGCTATGGCCACCAAACCGGCTTTATAAAAGGACTGGACAAATACATGGAGGGAAGGCTATCAATGGTTGCTGTTCCACCTTCATGGTCGGAGGCAGTAATGCTTCTGAATACCAATTGCTGGAAACCACAGGAGGGAAGAGGGCTGCTCTTGTGCCCAGATCCTGCTTGTGGGTTTTCCATCATGGGCATCTGGTTGGTCACTGTGGGAACAGGATGCTGGACTAGTTGGGCCACTGACCTGATCCATCAGGCTGCTCTGGTCTTCCAGGTCCTAGTCCAACACTCTAACCACTATACCACACTGCCTTTTGTTTTAGTACAGTGGATGCTTGAGTTGCGAACGTGATCTGTGCGGGAAGCACATTCGCAACCCGCAGCGCTGAGTCTGCACATGCGCAGCTCACATTTCGGCGCTTCTGCACATGCGCAAAGTGTGGTTTAGCACTTCTGCACATGCGCAAGCGCGAAACCCAGAAGTAAACTGTTCCAGTACTTCCGGGTTCGGCGCTGTGCACAACCCGAAATCGCGCAACCCGAAGCATCTGTAACCCAAGGTATGACTGTATTTGCGTGGTTGCTGTCCTGGGCTCATTTGGAAGGGCAGGATATAAAC